CCCCAGTTTTTTGGGCAGTCGGGCAATATTCGATCAACAGTCGGGCAATTTTGGTTTGCAATAAAAAAAAATGGGACAAATTATGTCAATTTTGTCTAAAATTAAGTCAATTTTTTGGCAAAATTCGTGATTTTTCGAAAATTTGTGTTATGTTCCGAAAAATATTGGTTGTCCGGAAAATTTTTTTGACCGCTAAAATGGTACACTAACCGAAATTTTTTTGGCGACGGGGGGGGGGAGGAGGTCGCCAAAATAATTTTTCCGGAAAAAAATTTTTGGTACTAGTCGGGCAGAATCCCGAAAAGTCGGGCAATTTTCTTTCCGCCCCCCTAATTTTTTCCTTCCGGTACGCCCATGAGGGGAATCAATTGATGCACACTCAGACCATGATTAGCATTTAAAAGGATCTGATGATGTGAGCTCTTTGTAGATTTGTATTTTTCCTCTGTCCTGGTTCATCAACTGACGGATACGTAATTGTAGCTTGTGTTAGTCCCAGCTCTAATCGGCAAAGACTAAAAATTGGACAAGTCCCCCTGCAAAATGGGGACTGTCAGGGTATTGCCTAACACGTCCCTAACCTCCACAGGAAGCTTAGTAAAAACCACAAAATATTGCTTAATAATTAAGCATTTTCACATTGGACAGAACTGTAGAGCTGCTCCCATCGGTTCATTAAAATCGATTGATTAAAATCAATCGTGTTGAATAAATCTAGATACATCCATGCACAGTGGACTGGTCAATGATAATGTCGTTTCCAAGAAGGCATGTGTTAAAGTTTTACATGCAATTCGGGCAATGGGAGAGCTAGTGGTAGCAGAGAAAAAACAAATCGCGTTTGTCGTTTGATCATGCATGGCTGTTTTGTTGATAATGAATGGAAAACGTACTGTTCACTATTCTTTACTTTAACCAAAAAATCGTTGCAAGATAAACTGAGTTTTGCTGAACAAATTACAAAATGTCCAAAAGTCACTCCGTAACTTGCCTTGTAAAATACAAACAGGTGGGAAATCAGTGGTGGGAAATTTGTCGTCGCTGACCAAAAAATCGCGGGCAGAAACAAAGCTCATTGCATTTTATTTCAAAACAAAGCAGAAAGTTAGGAAGAGGCTGTTTTGATTTACAAATCAACGGTTATTCTTTTAAAAGTCGACTATGAATTCTTTGTTTTGGGATGATTTGTTTTGTAATCGAGTGATTGGGAGAAGTTAATATGGCGACGTGAACATGGGAGTAAATACCGTATATGTCAATCTGCATGTGGCTTGTTTAAAACCGTAATAAACGAAGAAAGACGTGATATGAGAATGAAATGTGAGTTTAAATTAACTTTATATGCCTCAAATTTTCCATCCTATGTTTCTTAATGTAACTTCAGCTGTCTAAGTTTATAGAAATACAAGCTCGCGAAATTTGACAAATTTTGAAAATATGTAAAAATAGCTTGACTTTGAACTGTATTTTCTCAAAATAGCCCGTGGCCTCAATTTCAAATATAGCTAAATGAAAAGAAAAAACTTTTTGGCGTTTGTAGGTATCAAACATATCGTCAGGAAAATAGGGGCTCACAATGTTTTAGCTGAGTCTTTTGAGACCCAGTTGCTTCACACGTGTTGTTGTCAAATTTTTGCCAAGAATCGTAGGCCGAAATGTGAACTTCCCTTCATGAAAACCGCTTCGAGAAGGGTCTAGTTTGAAAATTTAGCTATTACTTTCGATTTCATAAGCATATTTTGGTTACACGTTAAATATTTTTGTACTTGATGAGATTCAAAATTTGTTGTATATTCAAGCCCGGCTTTAGTGTAATTTTGGTGATGACCGGAACAGAAATAAAGATATTTTAAAAACTAGCCGTGGCCTCACTATAAAACTTTCTAAAAATGTTCTCTGTTTCATGTATTTTTATTTGATATCTTAGGTATAAGCGTAAAAATAGGGGCTCATACAGTTTACGAGGTTGTAAAATGCATGACTAGCCTCCATTTTCATGTAAACATTCGAAATTTTACGACAGCAAAGCAGACAGTCCGCCAGAGACAATGGCAGGGTACTGAAATAGAACGTCACTAAAAAATTCTGTATGATTAATTTAGATCATGTCCATTTTCAACATAAAACAGTCATTTTGTACAAACATTTGGCAATATTTACACGATTGTGCCTTTTTGTAAACACGCGTTGCGTGTATTCCACGCAATTGCGTGAGTCATTTTGCTCACGCATGCTCAGACAAATGTCCCACCTGTTGTAAAATACTGCTCGGTAGGTTTGACCACGGTTAATAGAATTCTATTAACCGTGGTTTGACGAAAACAGTGACGTTTTTGTATGATGTGCACATGGATACATTAAAGTAAAATCCGTACATGGATACATTACAATGTTTGAAAGTCATCATTTTCTTTTGTTGAATGAGAGGGTCAGGGCCATAAACAAACTTGTAGACCACCGTCCATTCTCTGTACTCAATTCTCCCATCCTGAATATTTATCTTCATACTTTATGGTAATGGTAAAATTGGCGCATTCAGTCGGACCCACCTTACTTCCTGAGATCGCATCAATTTCACGTCTGCTCTGACTTTAGTGAACTTTTTTCTTTTGGCTGTTTCTCTCAAAAAAATTGGATTTTTCAGACATGTTTTTAATGCGGCCATTATTTTGCCATTTTGTCTCACTTGAATGCGAGATGGTAGTCGATCTTTGCTTGGAACAACCTCGTTCCCAGGGTCTTTCTCAGAACGGCGCGAGGCGAAGGAAAGACCGTGGTTTCGGCTGGTCACGTGTCACCCAGATTCTGGGTGATAAATTAAAATGATACTATGGGCAGGGTGGGAGAGGAGCGTGTTTGTCGCGTTTGTAACAATATTTGCAATTCTGTGTGATGAAATTTAAATTTGCAACAAGAAATCGTGAAGAGAACTGCAATTAAAAATTAATATTTATCGTGATGTGACTTTCTGCTCGATAATCTAGTGTCGAGTTACAATTCAAGCAAGTTGGATCAGATTTCAACTTACAAAGAAAGCACGCCTGGGCGGCGTGGCAATATTAAGCCTACAAGAAAATTCATATCGCTAGACCGACCAACGTGGTTTATATTTTATATTTAACTGTTAGTATTAAAGTTTATCCTGATACTCGGACCAAAAGAATATATTTATTGATGAGATGTGGAATTGGAACGAAATAGCGAGATCTTTTGATTTCCGAAATATCGCCAAGACGCCAACTGTATCGACATTGTTGATTATATTAAAAGGCCTTATCACAAAACTTAAATCCCGTCAAAAGACTATAAAATTTCCGGCAAGATCTCAACGATCATGGTATATGTCAAAGTCTAGCTGTCTGTTGAAAATCTACGGTATTACAGTAAAGTCATACAAAGATAAGTCAAACGACAATATATTTGTCTTACTGTTTACTACTATGTTTATACCACATTTATAAATTTTATAAACAGCTTTCGTTTTGACACAAGCTTTAATTTTCTGCTTTATATATATTCTTAATAATACATGTGAGATTAAATTTTTTTGCTTTGTGAAATAGAATACCGTTATTTTTTAATGGACAGCTTGTATCGTCTCTATCATATCCAGGATTGCTTGTGTGTAAATAGCCTACATGTATATATCACTATATATGCCACTATCAAATAAATATAGAAATATAAATGAACTTATTGAACTAGAAATAAACAGATGATTGAGACACAATGAAAACTGTTAGTAGCCTTAGTAGAAGTAGAAAACTCGAAAATTTATGTGTATTCGTATGGCAGTCTGTGCGCGTCTGACACTGTAAATTTCAAAATTTGTGATGTAGATTATAGCCTAGTAATTGTATGCATATTATAGGAAAACATAATACTATAATTAATGAATACGAATTATGTACTAAATCCAAAATTTTAAGATAAATCACTGACAGACATTTCTCTGTTTGGCTAGTATATATCAAATGTTTACATTTGCTGATATTGGGCTCTCTCTAGTCCAAGATAATACAATACAATACTGTTTCTTTTAAAAATCTTATAAACAAGACGTGCAAAGCATAGCAACGTTTACAAAAAAGGACAAATCTAATGCTTGTTTTAAAAACATTAGATATGTAGAAATGGTGACCACTGAAAGGCCCATAAACGTTTGTTATTAAACCGCGCTCGAGTGTGAAGAGAGTATTGAATAAAACAACACGAGAGAGCACTGCGAGTAACGATTTGCTTGGTTTCTTCACTTGACTGTTGGTAAAAATGTAAGAATGTTCTTGTAAATTCAATGCAAATAAAATAAACAAAAATTTAATAGCAAGTATTTTGAACTTACTGCTAATAGTTCGCAAAATTTATGTTTTTAACTGTTTGTAATTTGATACTTTCACCACACCCCCCTCGGGCAATCAATTTTGGACGAGGCACGTGACCAGCCGATACCAGGGTCTTTTCTAAAGACCCTGGGAACGAGGTTGTGCTTGGAATTTTTACCTTGGTCGGCGAAGGAGTTAAAAAAGGCATGCAGTTCTAGGCTCTTCCGTATTCTCTCACTTCGCAGAGTTTTCATCACGGTTTCTATAAAGAAATCATGGTTAACAATCATTTCTGAAGTACGAAATCCTCACGTTTTCGTAATTTACCTTTTACCATCTTTGAAAGATCAGTTTCTTTCTTCGTATCATCGCCGCCAACTTGTATTTGTCCTGTTTGAGGAAAATTTCATTATTCAAGGGTTAACTGTTGAATTCTTCTTTTAATTTGCTCGGTTCTGTTTCATCTTCTCGCCTGTCATAGTCTGACCACCACCATGATAAAAACAGGCGAAAATGAGACAGAAGGAAAGAAAAGACTCGATACAAGAGTCGAAAACTAAAGCCACGAACCACAGTGCTGTTTCGGCAAAATACAAAGTTTAAAACCTTTTCAAGTTTGCGTTTTTTGTTGTCACCTGCTGCACTAATGAGTATACACTCGAAATGTTAAGGTGACTCGTAATAGATTTTGAAATTTCAAGTCTATATATATATATACATGGGCGTATCGGAAGGAAAAAATTAGGGGGGCGGAAAGAAAATTGCCCGACTTTTCGGGATTCTGCCCGACTAGTACCAAAAAATTTTTTTCCGGAAAAATTATTTGGGCGACTTCGTCGCCAACAAAAATTCGGTCAGTGTACCATTTTAGGGGTCAAAAAAAATTTCCGGACAACCAATATTTTTCGGAACATAACACAAATTTTCGAAAAATCGAAAAATTTCCCAAAAAATTGACTTAATTTTAGACAAAATTGACAGAATTTGTCCCATTTTTTTTTATTGCAAACCAAAATTGCCCGACTGTTTATCGAATATTCCCCGACTGCCCAAAAAACTGGGGGGGGCTACCGCCGTCCCCCCGCCCCCCCGCCCGGTACGCCTATGTATATATATTTATTATATAGCACAGAGTGATGTCTTCACTAGTGAAGATATCGATCACGTGACTTTTAGTACTTACACAATTTTTTGCTTGGGACTATATAATAAACGGAACATTACACGGTGGCTTGAAGATAGGACTTTTTAGTATCTTCTCGTGTTAAAAACAATATTTTACTCACTCGCTGCGCTCGTTCGTAAAATATTGTTTTCACCACTCGAAGATAAAAGTCATATCTTCGCGCCACCCTGTAATATCCTCTATATAATATATATATATAGTAGTTTGGAATTGTCAAATTTCCTATTTTTACGTACGTTCCTGTACGGCGGAATTGGATTTTACCATTGATTTTACATATATTTCAATTTATGGGCTGTACAGACATTGAAATGTTTTGTCTCCCAAATTAATGTTCGTAACACTTAGTCAGTTGTTGTGACAAGTATAGACTTTCCCAGAGTCCTTTCGCGAATTTTGGATCTGGCAAATATTTTATACGGATTTGCGGACCTTACTAATACAGCGGATTGCGGATTTATCTAATATTTTGTCTCGGATTGTGGATTTTGCTTGCAATTTAGTTCGGATCCTGGATTGTGACTTCATAGTAGAGCTTTAGCAGATTCAAATTTAGACAAGACCATTGTCGGATCGCGGATTTTACTTCAAAGTTGGGCGGATCGGCGGATTTGTATACCCCTATTCACCAATAATGTTCGTCTTCTTGATTTCATTTTTTGCAATACAGAATTTTATTTTACAGAATTTTCTGTTTATTATACATTGTTATACTATAGCATTTGTAAATTCTGAACGCTGATTGGCTAAGAGCCGTGTTGATATAACTCAATGTCAACACGGAAACGTCGGAAAATTTCTTTCTTTGTGTTTCTTTGTGCTATATTATAAAACAAATATAAAACATTTTTTCCGTATTAATATACAGTTATATCAACACTCGTGGAAATTGGGAAAACTCGAAATTGTGTGAAAAGTTGAAAACACTCCGCCCTTCGGGCGTCGTGTTTCCACACAATTTCTCATTTTCCCAATTTCCACTCGTGTTGATATAACTGTATATCAACACGGAAATGTTTTATATTTGTTAATTGAAAAATGTGAACATATATCACAGGGGGTCCAACCACGGTTAATAGATCTAATTCTATTAACCGTGGTCCAACTAAGAGCTGTGTTATGAATATGAATAAAACATTATAACGTAATATATTTAAATTATTGCACTTACTTGTATAAATCATAAGAGATTGCCTTTGCACTGAATAGTTTCAAACAGAGCGCTTATATATGCTCAGAATGATTGCTTCGAACGATTGTTCAAATATGACGAATAAATTGACAAAACGAAAATATTACATGACGCTCCAACGAAAATAACAGCAGGGATTGCGGGCGCGCGAGCGAAAAGGCGAGGGAAGAAATAAATAAAAGGATGAAACAAATATCACGTGACTTTTTAAAATGCTTCTAGACTATCCGTTTAAGCTTTTTGTGGGTTTTTTAAGGCTCAGTCGATGTTCTCTTACATGAACAAGCCTAGTCATTACCAAAAAAGCACTGATCAATCTAATTTATGTGATTTATGAATTATGACAGCGAGCATTCTTGGCCATTTTCGCGAGATGTGTTCCATAAGGCCAAATATAAAAAAAATACTTGGTTAGCGTCACCGCCCGCCTCTCGATTTTCTGCCGCCTCTGAATTTTTTTTTATTTTTTTTTATGTAAATCTCTTCGTTTTACAGCTTAAAACAGTTTAATATTTGAAATTTTTCTCATGCTCAGACCTTCGCGCTATATACTGATCGATAGGAGCGCGTAGGCTTGGGTATACAAGGTTCTTAAAGCAAAATGGCGGCCTTCGCAACATCAGTACAAAAAATATCACCGATATGGTGGAAAAACCGCCCCCCATCCCCTCCAAAAATACTATTAAAAAATTAAAAAACGAGTAAAAATTAAAAAAAAATCCGCCCGCCCGCCTCTGAAAATTTGTGAGAGTGTGCCAACCAAGTATTTTTTTTATTTGGCCTAAGTAGCCTGGTCTCGTGACGTAATGACTAAATAATAATAAAACTAAATAATGTTAAAAAAAACCGTTGGTCGCTACATTTAAATATTTCATATTAGCCGGTACAGCTAAACATTGTTTATTTTCATTAATTAAGCGCGTAAGCGTTGTTGGAGTTGGCAGGAGGCATTTTGGAATTTTCCGAGAGACCAGGCTACTTATGGAAATAGTATTTCCTCGGAAGGTACTTAGGGGCCATTCACAAAGGATCTCCGAGCCGAGGGGGGAGGGGGGTTTGGAAAATCAGGACAAACTCGGACATAGGGGGGGAGGGGGGGTTTTTAGCAATCCGGATGTCCGAAATTTAAAAAAATTCAAAAACAATTTTTTTCCCTCTATTTTGAGCAGTCCTTCCCATTGTGAAATTGGCATTTTGACCATGCGGTTAACACTAGATTTTGTTTTAATTAGTAATTTATATGTTTTTGTGTTCACATTTACAGTTTTAAAAAAGTTCTAAAAGTAAAAGTTTTTTACTCTTGGTATATACAAGATTGCGTGAGTTTTTGCGAGGCACGGCGGATGTCCGGGGGGGAGGGGTCACTAATTCGGACAATGCCGGACAAGGGGGGGGGCTGAAAATCCATCATTTGGCCGGACATCCTTTGTGAATGGCCCCTTACCTGAAGGGGAGATATGGTTCTCCGAACTCCTTCGAAGACTGATACGAGCAATATTACCGGTGTTTCATCCCTTCTATTAATATCCTCTGGAGATTGACATAGCACGGTCATTTATTAGCGCAAATTAGCGCGTTTCCCCGCCCGTGTTTTATAGCGCCCTGGTTCTATCTATATCCACCATGAACTGAGCTTTTGTTCCCCCGCAGCTTTCGTTTCATTAAATATACTACATTAAATGTACTACAAATTAAACTTTTTGTCGACGTTTGCCCATTTTTAGAAACGTCAGAAATCGCTGCAAATCGACAAAAAGTTAAGGGGCTTCAATTTTGGTCATTTTCTCAATTTCAAGACAACAAAGCAAAATATAGTGAGTTGAATGTTTGATATAATAACTCAACGTCATTTACATTACAACAGAGAGAGAGGTGTAGATTTCACGACCACCACCGCTACCACTAAGGGACCATTAACCAATCAGATGCGTTTAATTTACCAGATTAACCAATCAGATGCGTTTAATTTACCAGATTAACCAATCAGATGCGTTTAATTTACCAGATTAACCAATCAGATGCGTACTGAGTGAAAGGTAGTGGTAGTCAAACCTAAGAGCTGCTTTCCAGTTAAGCGTTTTTCGTATCACGGAAAAGTTGAAATCTTTGTAACACAAAGTACTAATTACCTTAATTAACAAATACACTTGAAATCATACACCAAACTAAAAGCTGTGCTTTTATTCATTTAATTATTTCATAAGAAACTTTGAAATTCATTTAAACTTTTCTGCGTCTGAAAAACACTTGACTGGAAAGCAGCCTTACAAACTCACTAATGTAGGAATTACGAGAATTCACATACTTTGATGCTCAACTAGTTATGTATGATAAAAATATATCTGAATATGAAACGAGTTATATATAGATCATTTGCTAGATCACTCTATCATTGTTTTACACAAACAAGTTTCTAACGTGTGGCTAAAATGTTTGCATATTTCCCATTGGGTCTTTCCAGATTGGTAAAACTCCAAGACAGTCAGAGATATGGTTGGCATCATATCTATAAAAAAATAATAATATTAAACATATCATATATTATTTATTTAAAAGATTCATGGTTTTTTATTGGCTAACAGGCAAATGTGAAATCGTCATATGGAAGCTGACCAAATATGGAGTTTTGACATAATGCTGAAAAATCATCAACATTACGACTTCATGCTGCGAAAATACGAATACGAAATTTGAAAACACGACCAAAACAATATATCACAAAGTCTAGTTAAACGGTGATTGGCTGATTAAAACATGCTAAATGCTCGTTACATGAAGTTTATGATTTCATGAGATTCGGCTAATATAGCGCCAGGACGTTCGCCACAGTTTCCGCAATTACGGCGATCCCATAATTAACTTTACAATTACAATAATTTCAACAGTCAAAACAAACTAACATAAGACAATTTACAATCGATGCAAGCGACAACTAACAACAACTTAAAGATCAAGAGACCTAGCCCTTTTACATTTAACACACAGAGATTTGATCGTCACAATTATATATGGCCATAGACAATATTTTTATTTGCAATCGTTCATCCTCAGATGCGGTATAATTGAGAATGATTTGACTCACCACATCGTCTTCAGTATCTTCATCTGACAACATTCCTGGAGGACAAGAACTACTCCGCACTGTACTGGCATTGCTGGTACTCGAACTAAGACTATGACTTGGATAGTTATAATCAGGAGTATTTTCAGTTTGAGGTAATTTCCTGACGACAGCGTATTTCTTTTTCACAGGTTTCACAGGTTCAAGTTTGCCCAATGCCGAGGTTCGTGTGAGAGCTGGCACGTAGCCTGTACTGCTGGTGTTGGGACTACACAAAGAAAAGACTCTTATTCATTATCTGCTACATTTTCACTGTTCTTTCACTGTAAATCTTTCCAAGAAAACGGTCAAAAGACTGGGCTGAACGGTCAAAAGACTGGGCATTCAGAAGAACTATTAAGAGCAGATTTACGGCATGCTTCTTTCACTTTTTGGAGCAAACCAACGCAACGACACTTACGTCCAAGTGTTTTTAAAGCTCGGGTATCACTGCCGTGTGTTTGAAGTTCAAGGCGTTGTTCGAAGTTTCAGACAAAAACCACGGCAACTTATTGTAGACCACTGAAGTGTAGAACACTGGAGTGGACCCCATCCATTGAGATATCTTTTCCAGGTAGTTCAGACACAAACCATATATAGGAGTTCACTGTAGAACACTACCTACACTGGATCCTACATCTTTTGGTCAGGTAGCAGGGGCGTAGGAACCGGGGGAGGGGAGCACGTCCCCCTCATTTTTCAAAGTGACCTTTTTTGTGATGAAAAGTGACCTTTTTGTACAAACTAATGTTGCTGTTTTACTCTATTAACATCGACGGCGACCTTTTTGTGAGGAAATTTCGATGTTTTTAAAAAAAAAATTCATAAGTTACTTACAGTTCGTTAACATTTCTTGATTTTCCATTGCTCTTAATTTCTGGCGTGTTAGTTGAGACATACGTTGAATTTTCTTTAACTGAGGGCAAGTTACCATCTCGCGAGTTTTCAGACCTCGCGCGACGTCCACGCGAGGAATCTCGCAAACCATCCCCGTCTTTGCTCGGAGTTTTCTTTGATGGTGGTTTTATACTGCAAAGAAATATCCGCAAGAAACATTCATCATACGTGGTTTTACAATGTAGACAATGTCAGGAGGGCGGGGAAACTACAACACAGGTTCAATTCCTGCAGTTTTCTATCATAATTATACCAAGGGCTTGTTCATGTGAGCTGGGCTGGCCAGGAAATCGGGTTGGCTTACAAGTAGCGAGATCTCGCCTCCTATATTGTTTTGTTTTCGAGGTTTGATTCACATGGGAATCGAGCCAGCCCAGTCTGCCTGGGCTCTCGCTCTCACCTTCCCGGACTCATATAAACGCACATAGTGGGCCATTGTGTCACAACACATGCCTTATTCCATCTAGAAAGAATCTAAAAATTCAAAACAAGGACGATAAAATAGACCTTTCTTATTATGCATTGTCCCACAGGTCAATGCAAGTCGTTGGCGAGCCAATAAATTTCATAAAAACATCATTTGTATTGTCCCTTGGGACGTCGCGTGTTTTTCCGCGTTTGAGGTCATGATAAGAAAGGTCTATTAAGACTTCTGATAGCATTTTGCGAATAAAAAAAAAAAGATTCCCACCAAAAGCAAATATCGCGTCCTCGCCGGGCTAGCCCAGCTCATGTGAAACAAGCAACTTGGGCCGGCAAAGCAATCTAGCCCGGCTCATATTTACAGGCCCTAATAAAACAGCTCCAAAGATTTCCTATGGCTGTTTCTTGTGACACTGGATGACATTATTCCTGGTTCTACAGGTAGGGATATTATGAACAAAACTATTTTATTTCCAACTATGTACCTGCTGTTGCTTTCAGGGTTGTAAGTTGATAAGCTTCCTGCAAACGGTTGAAAACTGATAGGATCCATCGCTTTATACATATTCAGATCAATATCAATATTAAATCCTCCACACTCAGCAGCAGCCTTGACAGCGTTGGCGAAATCAGTGTCAGTTAAGAATGAACCGTCACTACTTATCCCACTTTTACGATCAGGACTGGAGCAAGGTGATTCATCTTCAGAACCACTCGTATTTGTCACCGAGTCTGCCCACTGCATGATAATATCACTGGTAATCCCAGCAAGGTCGAAAGGTAGTTTATTCTCGGACTTTCCTTTCGATTTTCCACTCCGTACAGAGTCTGCTCTCTCGAAGTCCGAGGCAGCAGAGCCTGAGCGGCGCGGATGGAATGAAGAGGCATGGGAACGACCATATGTTGTTTCACTACACATTGATGTAGCGGTTGGTGATGGAGGTGGTGACCGCGTGGCCACACTAGCGGGAGGAGGGTGAGAGGGTGGTGGGGGAAGCATATCTGCCCAATTTACACTTGCTATTGTTAACCGGGGTGGAGGTTTGAGTCCTTTCCTACGTCCTGCTATAGAACTACCTTGATTTGAACATTCACTCCCAGGACTACATGAAGACTGTCGGCTTGGTAGGTTCCCATACCTATCATGTTTATACGACATGTGACTATCACGTGGATCATTATAATTACCACGTGGTTCCTTACTCCTCTTCTTTTCATTACAGTCCATCGAGTTTTCAGCGATTGCAGTTTCATAATCAGGCGGGGCCTCGCCAGGGTAAGGACTGCGAGCTGCGGGTGTTCTCGTGCTTGCAGGTTCAGGCGTGCTTTCACATTTAGGCTTTGCATTATCATAATCACTGCGGTTATCAATGCTAAGACATGAAGGTCTTGGGGCAGGGGAGTAGGGATTGCGTGCTCTGTGGTTGTATCGTGATGGACTGTCAAAATCATTCTCTGAATATTTTCTTGCTTGTCGATCACCGTAATTTACTAGAAGAAAGAAATATTTATTTTCAACCAAAACACATTGTGCAAAACTATTATCGTAAATCCTCTATTGTTACAGGGGCATTATTTCTAGCACCATTGAGAGCGGGATTATTGGAGAGCCCTCTCCAGTAACGAAGGGAACGTTATTCCTGTAACGAGGGGAAAGTTATTCCTTTAGATTGATGTTTAAGACAGAACCGCTAACCGCAAACTTATACATTTGGTAAGGTAAGTTGTTAAGTTTTCGATAACAAGGTAAGTTGTTAAGTTTTCGACAGCTAAGTAGCTACATAAGTAGCTTTTCATGCACAAATTGCCCTAACTTCGAACAGCTATAACAGTTGACTTCAAAATACGATTTGAAGTTTGCCGTTAACTATCTAGCGGATCATCATCGGGTTGGTTATTGCGTTATACTGTATGTATGTGGACAATCGCAATAGGTAAAAGTCCCTCTTTTTCTTTAGAGGCTGCTAATTTACCAAGCTGAAGAATGTTGACTCTTTTAAATCCACGAACTGCTTAATGGGTTAAAGTAAAGGTGTGTTAAAAGGTATACAGTAGTTAGTTACCTTTCAGAGAAAAGATTAATCAATAACATAATTTAACCAAGTACTGTACAGTAAAACCAGTTCTATTTCCAACAAGAAGGGTTTTGCATTAAATCAGATCTAAGCAGTTGCACAAAATACAACTTTTGCTTCTCTGACAGGAATCGAATCTGCGGCTTGTAGCTGAGTTGGTTAGAGCACTGCACCGGAATGGCAGGGCCGCAGGTTCGATTCCTGTCAGGGACTTATAGTTGTATTTTTCGCAACTACTTCTGGTTAGATCTAATAAATTTATTTAAGATTTCCACTCGAAATTTCCATCTACAAAATCTCTTCAACAATTAGTTGTATCGAGTGAGATGCCCAACATCCTGATATTTCCAATAATTCTATTCCAGGAATATGTAGAGTAACATCAGTTATATTTCCAATAATTCTATTCCAGGAATATTGTTTCAAGTCTTACCACTATCATTTCCTCTCGCTTCCAGTGATCGATACATTCTTTCATATTTATTCGGTGTAATGGCGATGTTGGGGAAGTCCAAATTACTACATGTCGGTGTCCTTGAAGAATCACCTGGAAAATATCATTTTAACTATCAATTAATTATTTGAATGTAATAACTGTTTAAAGATCATTTTTGTAACATTAGAACATCTCTATAATAATAATGCTTGGTATGTTTGTGTTTAAGTCTGGTTGACACCATCAAAGTTTCTGTGATCACAGTAGGAATGTTGCATCGGTAAGTTTTGAAGAATTTGTAAGAAATGTTTGAGGAAATGTGTTAAACAGTGAATCAGTCCCCTTAAAAAAGTCTTACAAATCCTTCATTTACCAATGCAAAATTGCTACTGTGATCACAGAAACTTTGATAGTGTTAACCAGGCATTATGCTTGTATCGTAGTGAGGACTGGGCTCTACTATACAGAGATACAAGATATCACAGGGTGCGATAATTCGCGTACTTACGTACCGGAGGTACGCCAATATTGCGGCCTGGCACTTCTTTGTTTTCAACCAAGTTCCAAGTAGGTACGCGCAACTCGTGCTATCTGCGTACTTACTTTTTGCTGGTACCATGACATGACCTTTCTATACCCAAGGTATTCAAAACCGTCATCGAGTAGGTATATGTGTAAGCCTGACAGATCTAGACATGAAATATGTTTGGACTGATGGTTCTAAGGAATGTTGGAATCGACTGTAGTGTTTGGATATACAGTTGTGCTCCTTGTTATAACTTTTCAAGTTACTGAATGGTTTCCTTTCAGAAAACTGTACTTTATGTACTTCATTTTAAAGACTAAGTACACCTACTGTCCTTGAGTTTTACAAGTTTCTACCAGCTCAAGTACGCGGTAATGATCATTCAAGTACCAGTCAGGTACGACTAAAAATGTTGAATTAGTTCCCACCATCTCGGTTCACAAAGGCAAAACATGGTTGATTCAAACCATCCATGATGACAAACTAGCCTGTTGTTTCAAAACGTTCTCTCGCGAATGTAATTTGTTCGGGGATTGCATTCATTTAGCAGGTTGCCGTGAATTTTGTTGAAATATATTGAAGAGAAAACGTTTGAACTTACTGAATCTGTATACGCTGCTAGATCGTCCATCATAACTTTCAGCTCCACATTCGGAAAGACTTTCTCTTGCTGCACGACTTACAGGAGTTAATACATCACTTTCAGTGCTTGTCCCCTCACTAAACACCAAAGAAATGCATGAACATTAACGTCGCCACAGTATGTACAGTATAGCCACGATATATTGATGGCATTATGTTTGGATAAAGCCAGATGTTTAGATGAAAAGTTGAACTTCGATAAAAAGTTAGCAACTAACTATTAGTTCGTGAGAGTATAGTTTATGTAGCAGTCTATACAATAGGATGGATCGTGGTTTTCGCGACTCGTGTCTGAACTACTAAAAAAGATTATAAACACACACCATGGCTGGCAAGTCAATCATTACTCCTATGCACTGAGTTTGAATGATCATCTATAGCAAGTGACAAACATGCGCAGTTTGCTATACTATTTAAAACATGAGCAGCAGTGTTTTATCAGAAATAAAGATGGTCTGATAAAACACGCACTGCGAATGTTTTAATTCTAGTAAGTTCATTGGCGAAGTAACTTTCAAAAAATTCGTTGTGTATGTCGAGAAAATCAAAGTTAAAGTTTATGTAAACAAGGAAAATCTCTATCACATATAAAGATACGGCACGTTTATGATTTTTTTTTGCGTTTTCCTCATGAATTATTAATGACTTTTTGAAGCTATTTTAGACAACAGTCACAACAAAACAGAGCTTTTATCCTTTAAAAGACTTCTGAACCACTAACAGTTGAGCGTGTGTTGAAATGTTAATATTCTTTATAAAATCATCGTCCAACTTCATAGCTGCAATGCCGGCAAGTAATGTAGCCTCGACAAATATCAAGACAACTATAAGAAATATTCGATCCCTGCTCGTGCTGGCATCAGATGATCAGAGCTATTAAAAATAATTTGTCGATATAAATGTATAATTGAAACTCAAACTTTTCCGTATCCCGTAGGAAGAATCGCGATAACCGGCGTCTTCACCACGTAGCAAATTAATAATAGACTTTCTCTGTTCTGGTTTCAACTCAATTTCGAAGCCTAAATACTTGAAATATAAGAAAGAGTTTTTTTATGAGCCATATACGGCTATCGCTATTTCGATACGCGAGCAAAATTATTGTTGACATTTGAGTTACGTAATTACTTCCGTTAACGAGATTAACCAATGGGAAGCTTTTCCGAAGATTCTTCGGAGAAGAACAAATTTGTCATAGGCATTTGGGCAGGCGTTTATTTAACGACGCCCTCTTTTCTCCCGCCCGCACTAAACGCCTGTTACGCAGGCTACATGTGTACAAACTACTAAGATGTTGACATGTGACAGACAAGTACCTCAGGACTGTATTTGGTACTCCCGTCATTAGAGGCCCCAAACCAAACCAAACAAAACTAAAAACCAAAGCAAGCACTAAATACAGTAAACAAGCTTACCTTGTAGTTTTACGAACGGCCTCTGTGTTCTGTAACTCAATGGGTAGATTATCAACATCTTTCTTATTAGATGAACGTCTACATACACAACACAGTACGAGAATCAAGATCAATATGAGTATTACACCTCCCAGGACACCCAGGAACCAAGGCTGAATAATAAAATCTTTAATTTGTTCCATTGTTGATTTCTTTTCGCTCATGAATGGTGATGGTAATAAAATACTTTTCTCTGGGCTGCTGTAGGTACGCCCTAGTGTAGTGCTCACGCTCATCCGGATGTTGTAGCTACCTCCGGGAGTTAGATCACCAATCACGTGATAATATCGTTCAAGTGAAGCTGGAATTACGATCTCTTTCCTTTCCTCGTTTCTTTTCCGCCTTCGACCTTGCTTTTCCTCGTTCGCTGACGTAAACCAAATCTAGAATGCAAACACAATGTTTAACAAAGCTGTTGTAACAATTTCAACCGTGAAATCCTTGGTAGGCTAAAATATAAGCTCTATATTGCATGAAATGTTAATTAAGGCAAAAAAAACATTTCCAGCGAGTGTCCACCACTGTCCATATAATGAAAAGAATTCACATTATTCGCTTGACTAAATGCAGTTGAGCACCATCTGGTGCACGATATATCTGAATCATTAATAAAAATGATCCTCCAACCCTTGCCCATCTAATAGCGTATGATTCATACGTTCTGCCTGTACGGCATCATCGGTGAGTGTTACTTACATATTGATTGCAAATGTTCAAAATTGTTTGCTAGGAGGGATAGTATTTTGTTGATTACTTGCCATGACAAGGTCGTGTTGACTTTCATAAAGAATAGTTACCAGCCGAGGTTGTATGAAGGCCGAATATCCACGGGGTTTTTCAACCGTTGTGAAAATGCTTGAAATATGGACCCCACACCCAATAAAAGGAAACTTGAATTCTTATATTTTAATCTGGGTATACCAGTCAAGGGCCCAGGGCCGCAACCTCGTTCCCAGGCTCTTTCCTCTTAAGAGAAAACAGCCTGGGAACGAGGTTGCCAGGGCCATAGGAAGATCGACAGTTGGGGGGGGGGGGAGGCTCATATTCATATATTCATGTTTACAGACCGTAAAAACAATCGATTTCAAAAGAAGTGAGTAATGCAGAACACGAATATATGATGAGCCCCCCAATTATCGATCTTCCTACGGCCCTGGTTGAGAGATTGCATTCTGACGATACTTACAGTATACTTTTTCAAGGTATCTTTACCACTGTTTTTCTTCCACAGTCGTTTCCATGTAACCGTCATACTATCCGAATCATTTTGTGTAACCGCCATCTTTAAACTCACAGGTTTATTTGATGTCCGTTGATGCATGCTTTTACTCATGGGACCTTTCAAAGCTTCCGTAAACACCTGAACACGTACAATGTACTTGGTGGAGTTTTGTAAATCTGAAATCGTGTAGCGTGTTGATAAATCATTTTGTAGTGTTTCTCTCTGGAAGTCGGATCCTTTGACTTTCCAGTAAATATAGTAGCCAGCAATATCGACACTTTTATCCAACTTTTGCCAGTTTACACGAAGTTCACCAGCTCCACCTGGGCTTAACTTGATGTTCAATTTAGGCAGTTTCTTAACCGGGAGCGTCGGGGGCGTCAGAACTCCACCTACATAAGTACAGGTATAAAATATCAGCAAAAAAATTAATTATTTTCCACTATATTTCGTCCAAAAAACTCCAAATGCTGCTACTGTCCAAAACTTGGGCAACATTACGACATTCTTGAGGCATTTTAAGCCCAGTAGGTGGTTATTTCTCACCCTGCATATAGACACAGGCTTTTAGCGATAATTGGCATGACATTCAAAAGCTAGATTTACAAAGAGCTGATTTCAGGTTGTCAGGTAGAAATAACTGTCTTTAAATAATATATGTGGCAGGAAAGTAGCAAAAAAGACGAAAACGTAGGATAACCGTAGATCGTGATACAACGTAACTACTAAGATTAATTCATGGCGGAGGTTCAGATTTCACTTTCACTACCGCTACCATTAACCAATCAGATGTGTTTGATATATCCGATTAACTAATCAGATGCGTTTGATGTATCCGATTAACCAATCAGATGCGTATTAAGCCTGTGAGAGTCAAATCTGAATCAAATCTGAACCTCACTATTGTCGTAGGATGAACGGTAGCACATTTTTCATTGTCTTTCCTCATGTGAAATTTTACTGTTTGTCAAGAACATTTGACAGGTTTTTTAATCTCATCAGCCAAGTGGCTGAGGTATGGTTGAAACCTTTTAATACTCGTTTCACGTGAGAATAGACAATGCGTTTATTTGTTCATCGTGAGATGCCACCGACGGTCTCTTACTTGTGGGTGCAGCTAATTTGGTCCTGACGACATCTGAGAGTAAACTAGGAACACCACGACCGATTTTATTTATGCCACGAACAAAGAACATATATCTTGTGTTCGCTTTCAACCCTTGTACAACGTACTGATCAGCATTGGGGGCAACATCAAAAGCGGCATATTTTTCATTACTCCTCAAATCAACATCGATATATCCCACCGCATAAACTGCCACAGGGTCGTCACTATGATCCCAACTGAGACGAACGGACTTGTCATTACATTCAACGACTCTCACATTCTTAGGCATGCTTGGAACACCAGCAATGATTGGCTGAGACAAATGTAACTTTCCTAGAAAATATACCAAATAATTACAGAATTACCTTTCACACGAAATGTTTTCGATTGCAACGTCGAAGTATTATTACTCATTCGAGTATTGCTAACTCGAGTATTGCTAACTCGAGCATTGCTAACTCGAGCATTGCTCACTCGAGCATCGCTCACTCAACGAGCAATGCTAACTCGAGTATTGCTAACTCGAGTATTGCTAACTCGAGCATTGCTCACTCGAGCATCGCTCACTCAACGAGCAATGCTAACTCGAGTATTGCTAACTCGAGCATTGCCAACTCGAGCATTGCCAACTCGAGCATCGCTCACTCAACGAGCAATGCTAATTCGAGGATTGCTAACTCGAGGATTGCTAACTCGAGGATTGCTAACTCGAGGATTGCTAACTCGAGCATTGCTCACTCGAGCATCGCTCACTCGAGCATCGCTCACTCGTTTGTATAAACAGCCGATAATGAACTTACTTGAAACTTGCAGTACAATTCTCTTGGTAATGGTTTTAATTTTATTACTGGCCATACACTGAAATGTTCCTCCATTACTCTTCTGTACTTTATTGATAACCAGACTATAACGATGTTTGTTTCCTATGTTTTCATCTTTAGAAATCTCACCATTGAGACCACCTTCTTGACCAATCTTGGACCATTTTACTGTTGGTTTAGGATTTCCTTCTACATCACAGATGATAGTAGCATTACTGTTTATATCAGCAGAAATCTTCACTTGTGGTGTGACAATGGTCGGAGCATATTCTGTCTTTCTGTATACACCAACATTCACATTGTGTGTCTTAGTCCCTATGTTATTAGTAGCTTCACAGGTATAGTTGCCAGCGTCAGATAGTTTCAACGGTTTGAAAATAAGATACAATGTCCTGTCAACTTTCTTAATTTGAATGTTTCCATACCAATGATTGATTCTATAAGGGTCACGACTGTCGCTCTTACGCCAGTATATTGAAGGATTGGGTTGGCCATTTGCTACACATTTTAGTTTCACAGTTGACTCTTCCATTTTATTCACATTAGGTGATATACTTGTAAACTCAGGGACGTCTGGAAAAAATACGAGATGATATTTATACACTGACTGTATTTTCACGCTTTAAGGTAAAGCAGTAATACCAGCAGGAATATATGAATATCTAATGAAGTGAGAAAATAGATTCTAAAAATTAATCCAAACAATTGAGGGATACTGGTACCACAATGGGCACAGCGTCACATGGTACAAATGCTGTTTTCTGATTGGTCAATTTAAATTTGAGGTATAATACTTGATGTAATCGTTATGTAATATGTATGTACCATTAACATTATGTCCTTACATTGCAGCATGAGATGAACGCTGGCGGAGACATTTCCTTCAGTATTAAAAGCTATGCAGTTGTATTTTCCTATATCTCCTGGTTTTAACTTGGTTAATGTCAACGTTCCATCAACACTGGGTAATATTGTGTTATTTCCTTCTTTCTTCCAGATTATCTTAGGAGTTGGTACACCGTCAGCTTTGCAAGTTAATGTAGTTTCACTGTATATACTGATATCAACAATCTTGTCTTTTGGGGAAGAGGTTATCGTAGGAGGAACTAGAAATACAACAGGAATAGTGAAATGATAGAATAAAAAATTTAGGATGGTTTCACTTTCTCTTCCACAGTTCAACTGCGAATATATGTCACAGATATCTAAATTTTAATCACTTCAATAATAGCATATTCCGACATTTTTTCGACAACATAACTCTATTTCAAATTTTATAACTACTATCATTTGTTTAACTTCTACAATCATTGACAAAACATGTTCGGGCAATTTGAAAAACATTGTCAAAAATTCAATGATTCCAAATTAAGATTCATAAATAACCAAATATACCCCTTTCCCCCTCGTCCAAAAGACTCCAAATGCTGCTACTGTCCAAAACTTGGACAACATTACGACATTCTTGAGGCATTTTAAGCCCAACAGGCGGTTATTTCTCACCCAGCATATAGACACAGGCTTTTAGCGATAATTGGCATGACATTCAAAAGCTAGATTTACAAAGAGCTGATTTCTGGTTGTCAGGTAGAAATAACTGTCTTTAAATCATTTATGTGGCAGGAAAGTAGCAAAAAAGATGAAAACGTAGGATAACCGTAGATCTTGATACAACTACTGATTAATTCATGGCGGAGGTTCAGATTTCACTTTCACTACCGCTACCATTAAAAGACCATTAACCAATCAGATGCATTTGAAATATCCGATTAACCAATCAGATGCGTTTGATGTATCCGATTAACCAATCAGATGCGTACTAAGCCTGTGAGATTCAAATCTGAATCTCTCTATTGTTGTCTTTTCTCATGTGAAACTTTACTGTTTGTCAAAAACATTTGACAGGTTTTTAATCTCATCAGCCAATCAGGTTCCTAGAATTAGCCTCGCACTGATTGGCTGAAGTATGGTTGAAACCTTTTAATACTCGTTTCACGTGAGAATAGACAATGCGTTTATTTGTTCATTGTCAGATGCCACCGACGGTCTCTTACTTGTGGGTGCAGCTAATTTGGTCCTGACGACATCTGAGAGTAAACTAGGCACACCACGACCTATTTTATTTATGCCACGAACAAAGAACATATATCTTGTGTTCGCTTTCAATCCTTGTACAACGTACTGATCAGCATTGGGGGCAACATCAAAAGCGGCATATTTTTCATTACTCCTCAAATCAACATCGATATATCCCACCGCATAAACTACCACAGGGTCGTCACTATGACCCCAACTGAGACGAACGGACTTGTCGTTATATTCAACGATTCTCACATTCTTAGGCATGCTTGGAACACCAGCAATGATTGGCTGAGACAAATGTAACTTTCCTAGAAAATATACCAAATAATTACAGAATTAATAGACACAGGCTTAATAGGCACATGCTTACAAAATTAAATATCACAGGAAATGCTCTCGCTCGAAATGTACAATTATTGCTCATTCTAGTATTGCTCATTCTAGTATTGCTCATTCTAGTATTGCTCATTCTAGTATTGCTCATTCTAGTATTGCTCATTCGAGTATTGCTCATTCTAGTATTGCTCATTCGAGTATTGCTCATTCGAGTATTGCTCATTCTAGTATTGCTCATTCGAGTATTGCTCATTCGAGTATTGCTCATTCTAGTATTGCTCATTCTAGTATTGCTCATTCGAGTATTGCTCATTCGAGTATTGCTCATTCTAGTATTGCTCATTCTAGTATTGTTCATTCTAGTATTGCTCATTCTAGTATTGCTCATTCTAGTATTGCTCATTCTAGTATTGCTCATTCTAGTATTGCTCATTCGAGTATTGCTCATTCGAGTATTGCTCATTCGAGTATTGCTCATTCGAGTATTGCTCATTCTAGTATTGCTCATTCGAGTATTGCTCATTCGAGTATTGCTCATTCTAGTATTGCTCATTCTAGTATTGCTCATTCGAGTATTGCTCATTCTAGTATTGCTCATTCTAGTATTGCTCATTCGAGTATTCCTCATTCTAGTATTGCTCATTCGAGTATTGCTCATTCTAGTATTGCTCATTCGAGTATTGCTCATTCGAGTATTGCTCACTCTAATATTGCTCATTCTAGTATTGCTCATTCGAGTATTGCTCATTCGAGTATTGCTAACTCGAGTATTGCTCACTCGAGTATTGCTCATTCGTTCGCCCATTCGCGTATTGCTCATTCGTTTGTATAAACAGCCGATAATGAACTTACTTGAAACTTGCAGTACAATTCTCTTGGTAATGGTTTTAATTTTATTACTGGCCATACACTGAAATGTTCCTCCATTACTCTTCTGTACTTTATTGATAACCAGACTATAACGATGTTTGTTTCCTATGTTTTCGTCTTTAGAAATCTCACCATTGAGACCACCTTCTTGACCAATCTTGGACCATTTTACTGTTGGTTTAGGATTTCCTTCTACATCACAGATGATAGTAGCATTACTGTTTATATCAGCAGAAATCTTCACTTGTGGTGTGACAATGCTCGGAGCATATTCTGTCTTTCTGTATACACCAACATTCACATTGTGTGTCTTAGTCCCTATCTTATTAGTAGCTTCACAGGTATAGTTGCCAGCGTCAGATAGTTTCAACGGTTTGAAAATAAGATGCAATGTCCTGTCAACTCTCTTAATTTGAATGTTTCCATACCAATGATTGATTGTATAAGGGTCACGACTGTCGCTCTTACGCCAGTATATTGAAGGATCGGGTTGGCCATTTGCTACACATTTTAGTTTCACAGTTGACTCTTCCATTTTATTCACATTAGGTGATATACTTGTAAACTCAGGGACGTCTGGAAAAAATACGAGATGATATTTATACACTGACTGTATTTTCACGCTTTAAGATAAAGGAGTAATACCAGCAGGAATATATGAATATCTAATGAAGTGAGAAAATAGATTCTAAAAATTAATCCAAACAATTGAGGGATACTGGTACCACAATGGGCACAGCGTCACATGGTACAAATGCTGTTTTCTGATTGGTCAATTTAAATTTGAGGTATAATACTTGATGTAATCGTTATGTAATATGTATGTACCATTAACATTATGTCCTTACATTGCAGCATGAGATGAACGCTCGCGGAGACATTTCCTTCAGTATTAAAAGCTATGCAGTTGTATTTTCCTATATCTCCTGGTTTTAACTTGGTTAATGTCAACGTTCCATCAACACTGGGTAATATTGTGTTATTTCCTTCTTTCTTCCAGATTATCTTAGGAGTTGGTACACCGTCAGCTTTGCAAGTTAATGTAGTTTCACTGTATATACTGATATCAACAATCTTGTCTTTTGGGGAAGAGGTTATCGTAGGAGGAACTAGAAATACAACAGGAATAGTGAAATGATAGAATAAAAAATTTAGGATGGTTTCACTTTCTCTTCCACAGTTCAACTGCGAATATATGTCACAGATATCTAAATTTTAATCACTTCAATAATAGCATATTCCGACATTTTTTCGACATTTCAAATTTTATAACTACTGTCATTTGTTTAGCTTCTACAATCATTGACAAAACATGTTCGGGCAATTTGAAAAATAGGTACGCTGAGCGTACATGCGCCAGCTATCAGTATAGTTCAGCAGATCAGGCGTGAGTATAGGCTCAAGATAGGCTATGCTGATCCTAACCAGTAAGCTCTCTATATATCTAGAGCAAGAGAAAATGTGAAAAGTGAAGTCAAGATGGCTGCCATTGACATCCAAATGATCCAACAGCTCTGAAGTTCGTAAACAGTTTTTATACCATTTTTCACTAAATCTAGTTTTATTCCAACGAACCGTATTATTAATCAAGTTTTCTGTTTCAGTTCATAAAATCATAACAATATTTTTTACATCATATAAATGATAGTATTACATCGAAGTCAAAATATGGAATTTCGGCACACGAGCTGTTGGACGTCAGTTCCAGTCTCTTTCAATTGTTTTTGTCGGCGCGGTTATATGTTACAACGCCAAGCTAGCTGGTTTTAGCTGGCTTCACTTTTTGGATTCCAGTTTTCGCTCGAAATACCTAAATAGTCATGTGACGACCAGGCATAAAGTTTTCAGAAATAGTGATATTTTTGCATGATCACGGTGTGACATACAGAGGTCTCACTTCTGCTGGAAAACCGTAAGGTAGTTTTCACCAAAATAACTGCCGGTCATGTTATTTACTAAATGTGTTTTTTACTAAATCTTGTTTGTGAATTTGTGGGATCGGACCGAACCTCCCGTTCCACACAATTATGGGTGCTGTGCAATATCTGTAAATCATGCATTAGTTGCATTTTAAAAACCAAGTAATTAAAAGCTTAGATATGGAATAAAAAATCACAAGTCAGCATTTAGAAATTCCACATGTCCACCCCTGGGAAGCAAGTGTTTTTGAAAGGCCTCACGGAGCTTCGTTATAATAACAATTTGTTGTAACACTGTAAAATCACAATGGATGGAGCTGCCTCTGCAAAATATAAACAAGCCGGAAACTGTCTATAGCTCACTATTCATTCTTCAGTTGCTTCTATTATTTTGTTCGAATTTTGATTTTAAGATGTCTTCAAAATAAAATGCCGAACGCATTAAAAACAATCGGATAATCAGCTGAAATGCCTCATTATCTATCGTTTCTAATGCGTTCGGCACATGAGAAGCACGACGTGTGAAACAGGCCTTTAAATATTACAAATTGATATAGTTTAAATATTACAAATTGATGTAGTTTAAATATTACAAATTGATGTAGTTTAAATATTACAAATTGATGTAGTGCAGGATTGTACACGCTCGCATTCCAATCGGAGTTTAAAAGACGAGATAGCGTTTATAAAATTAATTAATTTGAAATACTTAAATATACATATATTGGATTCACATTTAATATTGTAATAAAAATTGAAAAGTAAAGTGAAATTTGAGAGCAACTTGTCATGCAAAAGCGATTGCAATTTACATACATCAGTGTACTGACTATTGTCTATCAACGTAAACACCTCGGTATTAAAATACAATTCAAACCAGGTCTGTGTTCACAAAATCTACGTACATAAGATTAGAATATCCAAGAACATAAACTTACCGTAAATGTAGACGAAAACCAAAAGCAAACGAAATCAGCAAAACCAAAAATTCTTTGCCTTTTTGCAATATACTGTATGAACGCACAGACGCTTAGCTTCATAGCATGTAATGTGATCCATTCTTGTCATCATTCGTAATTAGACTTCAAACCATCGAGCCACGACAATGCAACGAACTAATATCGACCACGCACCGACAGTGACGTTTTGATCAATCCCTCCTACCGTCCGTCCATCCGTCCATCCGTCCGTCCGCCTCAAACAAAATTTCGAGTGCAATACGCTCCGCGGGCGCAAAAACATTGTCAAAAATTCAATGATTCCAAATTAAGATTCATAAATAACCAAATATACCCCTTTCCCCCCAAGCAATGTTGTTGTATGACATCATGTTTACATTGAGAACGTATTGCACTGTCTAGTGACCTGAACACAACATTATGAAGGGGGCGCGAGGGGTAAAGAGGGTTGGTGATGCCCTACTGCCCGAAAGGTTTTGTCAACGATTTTATGTCCAATTCTACATAATTTTTATTTTCATTCCCTTCTGCCCCGTACAATTGTTTATTAATGCATTTGCCTTTCATTTCTGCGCCTGGGGTTTGAAAGACGTAGTTTTCTATCAAACACTGCAGTTTTCCCCGGGTTTCCTCCCGTAGTAACGCTCAACAGCTGGACTGGTGAACAAATAAACTGTAGGGGAACCAGTTGACATCTGATGGGGCTATCCACAATGAATAGCGTTAGTTTAGTTCAGGTTTCCGGCTGTAAGAACCAGTATAAATGAGAAAAAATTAGAGCTGATAGGGATGTTTCATAACCACGTAAAGTTTTTTTCTCTTCAGGTTGTGTAGTTCTGCCACAGACCAGAGACCACACAGAAGTGCGACTTCTTGTCGGCGCCTATGATTTTGGCGTAACAGTTGTAATGCTACCGCCATGTTTTATAGCAAGTACTCTTACTAGAGGCATTCACCTCCCTGGAAATATTGAAAATGGCGGGCGTTCAGGGGGGGGAGTGAACCAGGGCGTAATAAAACACAGCGTTCAGGGGGAGGGTGAACCAGGGCGTAATAAAACACAGCGTTCAGGGGGAGGGTAAACGCCTCTCATAAGCGTGCTGGCTACGTGCATTTTGATGACGAATCATTGCGTGACGGCGATTACGCTTCTGTATGGTCTCTATTCTGTGGTTCTGATTCCACTGACCTGTACTTGTAATAACAGCTGGATTACTGAGTTTCCTGCCAGCGACATTCGTGGCCTCACATTGATAACTTCCCTCGTCTTCTTTCTTAAAATTTTTAATAACCAGTCTTGAACGTTGTTCCAGCAATATTCGAGTGCCATCTACGACGACATTTCTATCATCTTTCAACCATCGTAGTTTAGGTTTAGGTTTCCCTCGCGGCGAAATGCAAGTTAATGTAAGTTCACCACCTCGAGAAACAGTTTGACTCATTGGGTGCTCGCGAAATTCTTTACGGATATCTTTGAAATAAGAAATGGAAACACGTTACTGGATGATGTAAAATGAACATGGATATGACGTAACAGTAAAAAAGAATGACCCAAGCACCAACGTACGTTGTGGCCCGATGTAACGCGTCATGTTTCCAGTCATAATCTTGAGGACTGTAGTTACATTACTTCATGCACGATGCAAAACAAACGCACTCCGAAATGCTTTCATGGGAAAACAGGAGAAGTCATAGACTTTCTACATGTCGACTCGCATATGTAGATATTTATGTATTTTGCTGAGTAAAAACGGTTTAGTAATACACGTTTCACCAAAAACACATTACACATTGCAAACTAAGCAACCAAGAACGCGAAATACTATTCCAACAAACAGTAAATAACTAGCATTCTCCTGCAAGAGTGCAAAATCATATGCTTGCAGTAAGTAACTATCGTATCAGAATATCAGATGCGAAAATCGTCGTGAAAGTTAGCTCACTCATTTGCTCATTCCTTCGTTCAAACACTAAAGCCGGTTTCCACTTCAACCGTATCGTAGCGAAGCGTATTTCTTTGTTTTCTGACCACTAGAGTGGAACTAATGACTTGGACACAAAAGAAAATGCTACGATACGTTACGATTGAAGTGGAAAACCAGCTTAAATCATTTTCAGTAGTACGTACAGTTACATTCTGCAGTGTACTTAGGCCAACCTCAAGCATACGATTCCCAACAATTTGTGTTGTATAACATTGCCGTTTGAAAATAACCATTAATGCAACCTTAATTCATAGGGAATTATCGGAGAGACAGTTCTATATGTGTCTAAGTGTATCTGTCATAAGCACACAATCACGTACATATAGGTTCTATATCTGTAAACATCTTGCATGTGTGCATGTTTCTCACCAACTTTATTGTATTTGCGTACTTTATGATTTAAACAATATTTTATTAATAAAAAGGACAATTTTTCTAAAAGCCTCAGGCTTATCTAGAGAAATCTTGTCCTACAATATTACAAAGTTAACATAAATTGACATCACATTCGGACTAAAATACTTAGAACAGACATATAGGTAGGATAAACAGACGAATGGCAGAAACATGCACATCAAAACAATGCAGAACGAGATTAACATAACACAACAAAGATCACACATAATATTATGTATATACATGCACTTATATGGGTGCGTTCCTTTAGTGCAATCCGAATTTGGATCTTCAAATGCGATTATCGATTTTCAGTTTCATTTGACAAAATCTTAAAATAGATTCGAATCTAATGAATCCACCTCAATATATGGATTTTTCGGATTCAATCTGAATCTTGATTAGGATTCAACGTTTCTTTCGAGCTTCTGGCCTTCTAGCATGTACCTTGACCACTGACCTTGACCCGACCGAAAGGTATAGTGGGACAGAAAACTTATTGTAAAAATGGCGGGAAAACAGCAGGCGAATTCCGATTCTCATAATTCGTTCCATTTGTTTGACGAATCCAAAGAATCCGAATCCTAAAAATCCAAATCTAGATTTACAAAAGGAACGCTCCTTATAAGTCTTAACAAAAACGTTTAGAATTAGTAATAAAGTCCTGCACAAGTGAAAATAGCTTAAAGTTAATTGATAAAGTTACATCAGGATGTTCATATAAAAACCATTGATAGCGCATTGAAGTTGACGAGTTCAACCATAAAGTACCGAGCAGTTGTTCAGCGGCAGCAAAAAGAACACGACGTTCAGCAGCAAATCGATTACATTCAAAGAAGTGGAGCTCTGTTTCATTTGCTAAACCACAACTACACATTGGTGATGCCACGCAGTTCATCAAGAACAAATGATAATTTAAGGTACTATCACGTAAACGAAATCGAGTATGCAATAAAGAAGCCATGCGATTTCCAGTGGTAAATAAAGTATTAATTTTTGGCATTTTATGCCACTTCATATAGCTGTTTCGAAAACAAGCTAATGAGTGAGAGCTACGAACGTCAAGTGGCAAAGTGTTCCAAAGTTTGACTGAGGAAACTGAAAAAGATTTTTTAAAACGTTCAGTCCTAGCATGTGGGATATGATAATCTTCTCCGGTACGGAGATTGTAAGCTGTTATAGACCTAACTTGGACGGGACAGAGTTCCTGCAAATAGGATGGTGCAAGATTATTAACTATCTTATAAATCATATTTAACTTATGATAGGTGCGTCTTTCTTTCAATTTGACCCATATGCTACTTCATTAAGCAACCTTTCACGAGATGTTCCCTTTATAGCACCCGTAACCAATCTAGCTGCTTCATACTGGAGTTGTTCAAGAAGATCATTATCAGTTTCGTTACAACCATCCCAAACAATATCTGCATATTCCAAGCATGAATGAACCAGAGATTTATACAAAGTATCAAGTGTTTTCCTGGTCAATGTTAACTTCATAGGTTTAAGCATATTTAAACGTTTTGAGGCTTTTTGATGGATTTTAAAATGTGAGAACGCCATGAGAGATTAAACGTAAGTGTAACGCCTAAATGCTCATGCTGAAAAACCTCTTTGATTAGCCGTTTTCACATTAGAAGACGGACAAGTCGTCTAGGCGAACAAATCGTCTCAAAATCGTCTTTTAGTCGTACAAATCATCAGATGTGAAAACGTGTCGGACAAAATGTTAGACGAACAAGTCGTCTGAATTTGTTCGACTACTTGTCCGTCTGTGAAGACGATTTTTGAGAGACGATTTGTTCGTCTAGACGACTTGTCCGTCTCTAATGTGAATAGGCCGGCTAATAACACATTTGATAAATAGAGAGGATGAAATGGTTTGTCCTTTTCAACTGAAAAGATCATACTTTCTGTTTTTTCGGCATTCATTGTGACAAGCTACCGGTCAGCCCACGTTGAGATCGAGCTAAGGTCACAATTTAGTTTCCTAGCCGAATCGACAGGTGACTCTACCTCGTCAAGCAATAAAGAGTCATCGGCAAATAGAAAACATTCTGTTGAAATATTATTAACAATATCATAAGAAACAACAGTGGGCCGAATAGAGACCTCTTATATATAATATGTTAGGTTTAATGTTTTCATGATTGAGGGACATTAGTTAGAACACTACAACATTTAAAACCCCCATAATAATAATTAATAGAGATATGTCGGATAGTGCTTTGCCGGATAACGGATGGTACCTGAAAATAACCGGATACTGATGGTGGTACTTGGACAATACGTCACTTTTGTCATAAGAAATTGTCTGTTTAGTGTATGGCACAAGGATCGTGAGACAATACACAGCAGAGAGCAGTTTAAATCACAAAAAACTGTAAGTCTGTAATTTCGTTTTCATTTTCGTCTGTAATTTGGTACCGGATGTCTATATTTTACCACATCCAGTATATATTCTACAGTATACTTACGTCCTATGCTGATATTAACAGTTCTACTCTTGGTAACTCGTCTATCATCATCTGTCACAGTACAGTAATATTCCCCAGTGTCCGAGATACCTTTCTTTCTCTTGTGCACCACACGTTTTATATATAAATGTCCATTACTAAGAACTCTCCTTCGCTCATTACTCTGAACTTGAACACCCTTATGATACCATTTATATTTTAGTGGAGCTGTTCCTGTAGCTTCACAGATCAATTCTGCAATACCACTTTTAACTGCGTACGTATTTTGTGGTTGATGGGTGATGGTTGGCGCTGAAATGAAATTGATCGTTAACCCAGGGACAATAAGGTGTGATCACCCTTCCTTAAAAACTTCTAAAGCTAACTATACTAAGCAACAAACCATGAATGACTGATAGCCATTTATATATGTAATAACAAATTTCCAATACGGTGATAACAAATCAGGGGCGGACCATTTGATCTCTGATGGCGGGGGTGGGGATAGATTTTCGTTGAGCCCGATATTATTTTAACCTCTAATGATGCTCGATCTCTTTTCGTCGTTGAAGGCTTTTGCAAGATTATTCGCGAGTAAATATAAAATATGTATTGCTCGATATTTTTTCTGTCCGCCCCTTAATTCAGATAATTAGTCTTTCAATCCCCCGCCCCAGCTACTGTTGTACAAAATCCAGCCCAGTATGGCAGTATCACATTAATCCCGATGATACTTAAAATGTTGAAATTAGGTTGAAATATCTTCAAAAAACAATCCTCGTTGTTGCGTACTTAGTGTTTCCTGTGATTAGCAAAACTGCAGATTGATAGGAATGCAACTGCACAAAAAATACAAGAAGAACTTCAAGGAGCGAGGGCACTCAGTCGGGAAGTCGTAAACATGTAACTACACGACGAAGGGCCTTCGCTTGAAACGCTGAAATTCTCCTTGTATTTTTCAGGTAGTTGTATCTATATCAACCAAAGTGTTATGATTGGCACTGACTGGCACAGAACGTTCAAGATCTCCCGTGTTCGCTATTAACTCTAGTCTCTCTGGCGTTTGTTTCGACTCTCAGTAATCTTTATCAGAATTAACATAGTCTATCAACTCATACCTTGAGCTCCAGCAAGCCAGTTCCCTTGCAATAATATCAACAAGACGGCAAACACCCAAGATATCTCAACCATTCTGATCTACAGTAACAACGCAATGATAAATACAAACATCAATAAATGATTGCAATGTTTTCCAAGACGTTGATAAAATAACATTCGATGAAAATCATCTAAAATTTCTGTAAAGATAAATTTTCCAGAGCAGGAAGGGTGTCTTTTTTGCAGCATTAAAAATAGCTTGCGAGGGGAAGTTTAAAAGATTAAAACGCATTTAGAGTTCATGGGCGAAAAATTTGTTATGTGCTTTATTAAGTTTCAGCAGCTATTTAAAGTAGTTAAAATTGAGAAAATTTTCTGATATTTGGACCATTAATACAACACATAACAAATTTGTCGCCCATGAACTCAAAATGCGTTTTCAAAATGCATTCAAAATGAACTCAAAATGCGTCCTCTCCCGTTACGGTCGTCAGGATAGTGTTACTGTCATGTTGAGCTGCCTTGGCTGGAAAACATTGCAATCTCGAAGGACAATCGCTCGCTTGACAATGCTTTATAAGCTCAGAAATAACTTCGCTAGTATAGATTCTTGTGTGCTACAACCGATCACCTATACTATAGTTCTACTCGTTCATCTGCCTACGCATATAGAATACCTACCGTTAAGTGCGATTATTTTAAGTATTCTTTCATACCAAGAACCTTGCAGGAGTGGAATAAACTGCCCAGCCAAGTAGCTTTAAGTGAAACACTTAAAATCCTTTAAAGGGGCTATTTCAAAAATGGTTAGTGTCTAAAATGGTGTGTGTCTGAATTTTGTTTATAATGTATTAGTTTGTATTTATAATTTAGTTATAGTCTATAATGTTCAGTATTGAATGTAGACTTTTAGGGTAAATAAATAAATTTCCCTGCGCAAGCTATTTTTAATCATAATGCTGCTATGAAAAAGACACCCTCCCGGCTCTGGGAAATTTCTATGTACGAAATTGTTTTGTTTATTCTACATTATAAGTACCCAAACAATCTATATTTATCAACAATTTCATGACATGAACGGATTTGTGAAATTAAGAGCCGTTTCAAAATTGTCTACTTTTTTCTGATACACTCTGTAGTTGCATTTTTCCCCACTGTTCCTGGTTGAGTATCAACTATTTATAATTTATATAGTTTTTATTCCAAATTTCCACTCACGGAAAACATTTACGATTGTGTTTTGTCGAGAGAAATAGAGTGACGTGAAAACGAGGCTGATGACTTTCTGGTAAATAGGAGTGTAGAGGAGAGAGCCTGGGAAGGGGGGGGGGGCTAGAAAGCGCAAAACGGATGTATCGTGTGTATATAGAAAATCGGGGGTTTTTTTATCCTACCGTTGCTATGTTCTGAACAGGACGAACTTTATACAGTCACATGATGTTTTTTGAACTAACGACTTTGAACCTGCAAACGAACATGCTCTGGGAACGAGATTGTCGCCGAAGTTGCACAGACTCTATTAAAGTCTATGACGCGGGTAGGCAAGGCGCCCTTACTTGCGCGCACGTATGAAATTAATTTTAAAACCTTCGGAAAACATGTGTGGAATTTTTATCGCTGCTTAGTTCACGTCTTAGCGATTATTTTTATAGAAGATTAGTTTTGTAGTTTTAAAGTTACCATGGATAATAAATCATAATGAACATGTTTTCCAACATGAGCACCATGGTCATAAAAAAAGCGAGATTTCCGCCAGAAATCTCGTACTCAGCTCAGAAAGCAGGAAATAAACTAGAAATCACTAGAAATCAAATGATTTTATAAAAAAAACAAAAGTTCTTGCAAAAGGCTTAAATAGTTGTGCTTGTTTCATTTTTTACCGTAATTTCAAATGATATTTCATAATAATAACAACATTTTGATTTCAAATAACTCCAAGTTTGAGTAAACATTTTTTAGGAATCTTGAAATCAGCGTTGAGATGAGCAGAAATCAGCTCGGAAATCAAGTATCTCGAAATCTCGTATGCTTTGAGAAACCAAGGCGTAGAAATACAATTAGCAAGTCTAAAATACATGCAATCAAAGGGATAAGGCACTGACCACGTTGTAAGTTACGGCCGGTTAGCGGATCTTATAGAGTACTTACGTCACGTAATTTTCAAACAATGAATTATTGACCACTGTGCATTCCAGAAGTCCTATGTGTTAAAAATTGCGTGACATTAGCGGAGATTTTAGGACATTGCCGCAGCTTTTTTATTTTCAATGACCATTTTGAGCGGGTAAATATTATTACAGCGGCAGTGATGTTTTTTGCCAGTGAGCATACTGTATCTTAAGAGGTATAAATTGAAGTAAGCCGTGTAATCTAATCCCTTTGCCAGCCAATGAGATATCGTGATTTACATGTGCTGGAATTTTATTTTAATATTGGCCGCGCCACTTGATTAAACCGCGCAAATTCATTAAATATTATCAAATATAAGATGCAACCTGGACGCTCAGCTGTAAAAGTAATTAAATTAAAAGAAAATGTTATATAGTTGTGTTTGACCGGGAGGATTTTGTACTTGACCGGCGTAGTCATCATGACCATCAAGTTTCTGAGATTATTTTCAGCGCTGGCATACATGATGAATCAATAATAAGACCACACATCCCGTCTATCGATCTTTCAACTTGCTCTATTTACGTAAACAATAAATTCATTACATAAATATTTTCTTGTCCTCTTATAATGTCTAATGAATCTTCGTCATACTATAATCTTCTTATAGGTGGAGATTTTATTCCGCATATCACGTATTTTCCGCAAACATGTTCGACACATCAACAGTGCAAATATCTCAAGGAAATTTAAATCAAAATTTTGGAGTTGCTTCAACTTCTTGGTATTTACAGTGAAAACAGTTTCGCAAACATTTTCTTACACGCGAATTCTTAGTCTTTTTTATACATTATCTTTTTAAATATAGGTGGATGCATAATGCAAATAAAAATACTACGTCTATTCGAAAGTTCGCAATGCTAGAGGTTGATATTCCGCAAGTATTTAGACAAATATGAGTTTGTTCAGCACACGAAATTTCAAATAGTTGGGCAAATAATTTTTGAGGAATATGTATTCAAACAAACACTACTGATTTTAGCCTCTTCCAATACCAATACCAGACCCCTGGCCGTGCGCGATCCCTACTATTATGCAGTATGCACGCAACTACAGACATTTGCAGTCGTCGGCCTTAGGTAGGCATGTCTTTATCTCTAGGGTCTCTAGGTATCTAACTCCCGTAATACGCACAATAAAGGGTGTCCATATTAGTAGTAATAATAGATCAGTAATAATGTAACTTTATCTCACGACTAGGGAAACGTATGAACCATAACAGTATACTCGTCTGTAGATATTAAAGAGGTGCCCGTGCACTATATAAAGAGGTTTCAAGTATAGTTTGGGGGGTCGCCACGTATGAACACTGTCTCTCCCAGAATTGTTAATTTTCATTTTACGTAAATACACGCTATCTTCATAAATTTCTGCTCTGCATGACTACAATAGTGGGCTACCAAACGATTTGGCGAGGGCCCCCTTTAGTGATCTAGACCAATCCAGCTTTTGTCATTTTCAAGTTGGGCACCCTATTATTATTGGCAAATTGCCCCCTGTCCCTTCTATAGATAGCTCTATTAACGTGCCAGCGCTCTTTGATGAGTAAAATCATCTGGTGTTAGACGGAGTAAAATAATAAAGTAGGATGGCATTGGGGCAACTAAATGGGTTAGATCAATGACACTGGGGGATTTCTTGGTGAGCGGGCAATATTTGGATGGGAAACAGAACCTATTCTGTCATCATGTTGTTGTGCCTGCAATATAATACATGTACTACATAGACTGTGTACTGGGTGAGGTTTGTGATATGAATTCCTAATTCCATACACCATATCACAAAGGTGGAAAAAATTAGGGGGGGTTGCCCAACATTGATTAAAATTGCTAGATATTATCATGGGTTTTTTTGACAAATGAATAGAAGATGAATAGAGGAAAACGTCTCCTATACAGATGCACAGAAATGCAAGTCAATCTTAAAATGAGTATTTCTGGGACTTCTATCTTTAAGATATGCCCTCACTCTACTGCATGCAATTTTCCATTCAATGAAACAAGTTCAAACTATGAGTCATTAAACTCTGACCATAATGCTCGTATCTCAACATTAATATCATGACAAAATAAGTGATACCATTATGCAGGGCTAGCAAATGCCTGATTTTATACTAGAATCTGAGTAAACACTGACTGGGGTGCTGCAGCTCACTGTCTCGTATGCCCGCAAATACACGAGGCTCCCAAGCCAAGGAAGTATTTGTGATGCAATTAGTCAGAAGGGTGAGGGTATATACTGAAGAAATGAAGAGAAACAAATTGATGTAGAATCCAAAGAAAAACTTTCATTACCTCAAATTTGCTACAAGAAAAAATGGTCTTAAAAATCTCAATTTCATGTGTTTTGTGTGGAAGGCCAGTGGAAAGCTCTGTCTGATTTTGTGGGATGAGTTAAAATTTCAAGTGGGATACAAGATTTTCAAAACATTGAGCAGCAATGCGCCCCAGTGCACCCTATTTATTTTTTTTTACTTGTCCAACGCCAGACGATTTTACTCATCAATGGGGAAGCTCTGCAGCTTAATAGACCATAGAAGGTCATAGAATGGAAATTGTATGGACCTTCATTGGAAATAGAATGGATTTTGATTATCCATAATAATTGTATATTTCCATACTATGGATATAGTATGGAAATAGTATGGATGATAATGGATATACTATGGATATAGTATGGAAATAGTATGGATTATAATGGATATACTATGGATATAGTATGGAAATAGTATGGATTATAATGGATATACTATGGATTTAGTCTTTCAATTTCAATTTCATAGTATGGATTTCACATTTTTTTCCCAGTGATGGGTTAACGGTTAACTTAACCATAAAATCTGACAATTTCTCTAGTTAACGCATTGAGCCACAATGCACCCTAGTGTGCCCTACTTATTTTTTTACTTGCCCAATGCCAAACGATTTTACTCATCAATGGGAAAGCTCTGCAGCTTAATGGGTTAAACAGGATTAATAACGTAAGACTGATGTAAGACTTGTATTAAGCAAGGCGGGACAACAGGATTTAATGGAAAATTGGTAGAGATTGTGGTAAGATTCAGACAGTAACCACTGGGTTTCATTTGACAAGTGCAGATCTTGAAGTGATGATCCCTTGGAAACATGCTTGTCTGCAAACTATATGGCCCTTTACTTGGGGACAAGGTGAGGAAGGGTGGTGGGATTCTCTAAAGTAAGGGGCACCTCCACAGGAACATTTTGAAATTTAAAATCCCTGAAATGCTTCACTTGCATTTTTGTCTGAGATTCTACATCATTTTCATTATTTATTTATTAAACTTTGCCAACACAAACGTAGTACATAGAAACATGACATTACAACAGCAGAACATGTACAGCACATGACTGAATCTCACAAGGAATGGTGGGGACACCACAACAGTATAAACCAATTACTGTCAGCCCTTGGTAACAAATATAACAAACTATAAAATCAAATTCTATTATTAAAGTAAAGTATAATAGTAAAGGCCATGGTACACAAGGCAACCTCCGCTACAACTCGGATAGAAATCTTAAAGGATGGAAAGTGAAAGAAATAGAATAAAGATTTTGAAGATCATACAAAATTAGATTTGTATATAAAGTTAAAAATAAGACTAAATATTTTAAGACTAAGTTCAAGAAAAACTTGTGCATAATACTATTCACTACCAGTACCATTCCCCCCTTAACTTCTCTTTCCATGGCACTGCCAATGATTCAAATTTCAAATAAAAATATGTGAGGCTATTAAATAATGTGCGTTTCATGAGCAAAGTGAGGTTTGTTCACATGGCTTTTCATTAACTTCTCGAAAATTGCCTTGCAAGATGTTACTGCTGAAAGATGTATTGTGACAACAGTTTCAATCATTTGAAAGCTCTCGTGCAGTGCGGAGGGAGTGCTAATCATTGCATTACTGTAGCTTTTTTCATGATATTGTTTGGTAATATCAGCCACAGCTTCAGGAAAAAATCACTCTTTTGTCCTTAGCAGCTGGATGTTAGTTTCTTATTAAAATTCGTAATAACGTGGCGCCAGCAAAACTCAAGTTATAGTTACCATTATCCTTAAATCATTCTCTTATTTTTCGCGCTGCAATAGCTATATGATCTGTTTACATCTAGTTTATAACGCGTCAGTATTTTATCACATTTATGGAAACATTATATCACAATTTCGCTCAATAAATATTATATATTGATAGACTTTACGCGAAAGTAAATGAGCACTTGTTTGTAGCGCACAGAAATATAACATTTCGCTATAAACGCATTACAAAATATAAAATGGCAAACATAAAAAAAAAGAAACATTGAAGCGTCGCTGTTAAGATTTAAGGATCTCATATCACATGCGCCAACACTAAAATATGAAAGACACTTGACTATATGTCCTTTATCTATGAAAAATTCATATATATTGTTTTCTCGAGGGCACACTTTAGGCTGCTGTAGCAACAATACAAGCTTATAAGCACGAAATTACAATGACATAATGCCAAAAAGGCAAAGCGCTTTGACAAAAATATTGTACTTTTCGTTCAGATTTCATAAAATGAACGCCACAAGTAAGCTGTAAACCGCTATAGAGTATAGGCAAACACATTTACCTTGTTACAGTATATCACATGGAATCTCGGCATTAATTTGCACAATATCAACAAAACATCACAAGTGTTTTAACAAAGAGGCAATATTTTCTACGTACTCTACTGTCTCGTATCTTTAAATATAGTTGAATCAATTTACAAAAGTGCAAAAGTTCTGGTTTCTTAAACTAAAACTAACACGACGTGTCTTCGAAGCATGCTGCCTCACAGTTGGGTTTTATAAAAGCAAGACGCTATAAACACAATATATTCATTTAGAAAATATTCAAATAACATCGGCTTAAACATACATAATACCGTCTCATATTGTGATATAACACAGATAATATCGCGTGTTTCTCACATGAGAATAGCAAAATTGAACAGATAGACTAGAGCATTAATTTGTGCGAACAAAATTATCGATGACACAATGTTTAGTTTGCGGCTTTTGAATTCAATGTTTGGCTTTAGGGAGTCGTTCAATATTACTATCCTCGCAAAACGTTAGTCAACAGATAGCTAAGGCTTGTTACACAATACGCTATATATTTCTGTAAATAAGTTTTACATTCAAATGCTAAGAACAAGAATATATACAGCAAACGGAAATTTATTTACATCACCTCAAAATAATAATAAACTTACCCGGGGCACAAGTCTTGCGAAAGACAACAACGTTCGCAACAATATAACCGCACTCACATAACTTTCAATGCTTAACTCGCTTTACCGCAAACTACAGCGATTTGAAAATATACAATTCAAGGTTTTTTATACCACTTTTCTCTTGACTGGTCTGGTAATTGTCTACTGAACAATACAATCATGACATGTCGCAAAACACGGGAAAGCCATTCAATACCTCCCTAAACAATTAGTGAAATCTAGCCAATCAGGAAAGCGTAATTTATTTAAATTACCTCTCCTTTTTCCGGTATGGTTATTTGAGCTCAATCACACAAACCTGCGATCCTAACTCTGCTCTTAATTTTCTATTACGCAGTCACATTTTTTCTTGAGAAAACATTAAAAATAAGACACGAAAGCAATACTTTTAAATGCCCATCTAAATATACGATGTTGTTTGTGAGGAAAGTATGATATTTATGGCATACCACAGCAATGCTGGCAACACAGCAGGGAGTAAAATAGCCAATAGGCAATAAGATCAAATTTTCAATAAAGACTTGATGACAACATGATAGTCTAGCCTAAAGGAAGTGTGGAAGGAAAACCTATTTGATTCTTAGGAAATTAAAGCCCCGTTTACACTATACGCTCAATTTTTGGTACGGCACGGATAAAATTGGTACCCGTACCATTTTTTTGGTTCTTGGACTACCTATTTAGATAGTCCAACAACCAAAAAAGTGGTACGGTACAAAAAATCGAGCGTAGTGTAAACTGACTTATAAACTGCTCGAGTAGTGGCGTCACAGAGGAAGGCTCATAATATGCGTTCGCGAGCCCTTCGCTCGAAACGTCAAGTTGTTGTTTGGTATTTATTTTCAGGCAGGAGTGCACGAATGTCTAGGCTAGCAGGTCTTCGCCTTTTTACTCGTGCTGATTAGCACGAATTTCCCACCTTTTTAGGTATTTAGTTTCAATCCTTTCTACTCTACATCACGAACGATCTCTTCCAGCCTAGCTAGTACCACCAGAAAATTGGGATGGTCAGATGGATAGATTAATACCATAGATGGGTTCAACTACCTGAAAAATGAAAGCACAAGTATTTTTCCGACCCAATGACCCATGCTAATAGGGAGTAAGCTTCACGTTTCCGGAAACGGCAAACGGCAAGTTCGAACTTTCTTGGCAAAATTTTCGTTGAACGTTTTCGTTTCATATTTTCTTTCTTGCGCGAAAGAATAATTATGTATTTCAGTTTTAAAACAGCAAGTTCATTTACTCTTTATTGATTGATACCGCAAATTTTTTCTTTGCCTGGCGTTTGCCGTTTGACGTATAACGCGAAGCATAAACTCTCTACTAGAGACCTTACGATTTTAGGACGGCAACGCGACGACGACTGCCAAAACAAACTCCTTCAAATAAATGGTAGTAAAGATAATTCGTCGTACATTATCAATCGTATGAATTTAATACAGTCTTAGAAGTTGAAGACATGGATTTTATGGTTGGGAACGGAGTTCTCCTGAACCCAATTTGAAGTTGCACTTGTTGCGGCTTGAAATGCAACCGTTGTATCAAGACGTGAAAATCTGTGATTTGGCGTTGTAAAGTTGTAAACAGAGCGAGGACAATGTCTAAATTATTCATATAATTCTTTTCAATGATCTATTGTATTGGTAGCCGTTGGCGTTGCCGTCGCCGTGCCGTCCTAAAATCGTAAGATCTCTATTAACTCATTCCCGACGAATGGGGAGGTAGTTGAATCCCGTATCCATCTCAATTATAGTAAAGCTCAGTGATCTCAATGCTCTATAGCACCCTCTCGATCACCTTTATCACAGTTATCAGCAGGTTTGATCATGACTTGGCAATAAACTGCTCCGTTTAACGTAGCTCCACAGCCTCCACTACGGCTCAATATTTCGGGTACGACACGGATAACACTAGCACCCGTACCAAATTTATCCCTGCTCCCCCCTTTGTAAATAGGTAGACCAAGCACGGATACAAATGGTATAGCCTTCAAGTACCAAGCTTCAGTGAGGTTTGATGGCCTTTTGGATCTAACTTTAATTTGGAGCAGATGGAAGGGGGTGGCCCCCCAAAAAGATGGAAGGGGGTGGTCCCCCACTTCTGACGCTCCCTGGCCGTGTTGCATGACTTGAGGTCGGACCAGTATCTCCAACAGATACAGAGAAGCAACCTGATTCTTTCGCTGTTTCAAAACCTTGCCATGCAGTGTTGCAGAAAGTGAATAGTGAATTGGGTCAAGGACGACAATCCTTTCTAAACATTGGGGGGACGAAGCCAGCCGACAGATGTAATATATTATTCATTCCTTTACGAATGTCCAAATTAAAAGTCCCCCGTCCCCCAGGATTAACGCCTTTGATTTGGATGATACTTTGGAGCTCATGTTCCGACCATTAGCAACTTGCTAAAATTTAGCGGCCACTTAACTAACACTATCGAATACAGGTATCCTGCCAAAATTCATTGGCTGAAATATGTTCCGCAAAAACACGGTTAATAGCAAAACGTTGATGGCATCAAGCATTTTATCGATAGCTGACGTCATACAGGAAAGTATTCATCTGTGATAGAGCCATTGTCACTTTCACCTCACTTGGATTAGGAGGGTTGGCCAAACAGTCACTGTTGTAATAAGATTAGTATCATTGGGTAATGGCATGGTTTCTGTCCTACACTGACCGACCGATGTTACAAAATCAGGAAATACATGATGCGGTTGTCGCCAATTAAGGCATATAGGTCACAACTATGTCACAACTATGTCACAAACACCTTGTTCTCAGCTTCGGCAGATAACAACAAACTTCGACCTTCACAATCCTGACCTTCATCTCATAGGTTTTTTATGAACTTTGATAAGAAAAGTTTAAGTTAAAAACGTTAAAAGTTTTTATTAAAATCGAGCTTTTGGACTAAACGTCCATCACCAGGATAAATATGGTGAATAGTCCGCGCTGGCTTAAATACTGTTTGTATGCAAATACGTAACAATAAAAGAAGATCGCCAACGTCGTCCCAAAAGAAAAAAATGTTAAGGGCCTGGCAGTCCTTCCGTTTGTTCAAGGTGCCGTTTGTCCTTCAGTTTGTTCAACGGAGAGAATAAAAAGAGTTTTAGAAAGGCATAACATCCGTGTTGCAATTAAACCGGTTTCGATGTTGCGTGACTACTTGAGCAAGCCTAAAGATCGGTTTCCCATTTCAGATCAAGTGCACGTGTGTATTTGATTCCGTGTCGAGACTGTTACAGTGTTACGTAAAATATGTTGGGGAGACCGGCCGTGCGTTGGGAACAAGAAAGAAAGAAAGAAAGAAAGAACACCATTTCATGATCATGTAATTACAAATGATCATTGTGTTGCGTGGGATAACACAAAGGTCATATTATGTAAAGAGAGCAAGTTGTCAAAGAGAAAATGGAAGGAGGCATGGATGATTGAGCAGCAGAACAATGCCATTGCCAATAGAGACAATGGCGAACCTTGCCTGAGGTTTACAAAGTGTTGATTGACAATGACAGAGACGTGCTGGCTAGGGACGAGCCAACGACAACTTGTTGTGGGTCCCTGCCATCATGGTCCCCTACGATTAAAACATTGGAAAAGTTTGCAACAATTTTTTGAAAAAAAGATTAATTAGCGACTGAAATGTTTTATGTCTTCTATGTTTGATTAGTAATACCCCCTCTCTCCAATCTTAATCCATCCGTCACTGGGCCTGGGCCCCATCAGACATTACTCATTCCGGTCGTTCTTTTCAAGACCCCAGCACGTCCCAGTTGTCCCTGGACAATGATCATTAGAATTTTTTAAAAACTGTTAAGCCTATTATAGAGTATTCATGATTGTTATTCACCATATTTATCCCCACGATGGGCGTTTTAAACTTTTAACATTTTTAACTTAAACTTTTCTAGCTCTTATCAGACCTAGCTAGCACAGATATGAAACTTTTCCTGCATGGTAACATAGTACCCCTTAATTGTTACCTTGTTCTGGACGACATTGCATAACACAGTACATCTAATGTCCAAGTGTGGAAGGAAAACCTATTTGATTCTTAGGAAATTTAGGAAATTAAACTTCTCGAGTTTAATAAACGATTTAATTGTCAATGAATTTAGAGTCAAAACGTTGTCACAGAGGAAGGGTGAAGGTACTGAATCATCCTTCATAATATCGCCTTCGCTCGAAACATCATTACATAACACATTAGGAAGGAGAAAAGAATAGGTCCTAGGACGGATCTCTGAGGAACTCCATACTTCCTCGTTTTGAGGCATTTCTCTTTCTGATTATTTAATTATAAAAAGAAGCGTAACGTTCCATAATTCATTATTGAACACGTGCAATAACGTCACCAGCGGGTAGTAGATCAATGGTGGTAGGTCCGCAGTGTTGGCTAACATTTTCAGTTATCAAAAGAGCCAGGTAAACAAAGGCAGATTTTGTTTCTGACTAACCAGAGCATTTCTGCTGTTGTGTAAAAATAGAACAAACTTTATCGTTTCGAACGATTGTGACTTCGCTACCTCATCAGGTCGCTTAAAAATAAAAACTTGTGACTACTCCCGGCATCTGCAAGGGAAACATTCAGTTTCTAGAATTATTAGTCGCTGGAGGATGATCGTTTTATAGAATATTTAATTAAAGAACTGTTTCCAAATACACGTGAATTTTGTTACCATTTAACATATATTACATATAGATCTTGAATCATCAGTGTAGATAGTGACAAGAAAGCTGCGCATTGATACGACTACCTGAAGAATAGAAGCCGAACTTCGAGAAGTTCTCCCTGTATTTTTGTGCTAGTTTTATCCCTATCAATCCACAGCTATCGTATTACATATATCTTATATTACAAGGGTTGTGCTAAATTTAGATAACTTATATTTGGGAAATATTTGGTGTGGGAAATAGTATGACCTTCCCACGACCTTTCCGAAATTCAGATGACATGGAGATAAACAAAATGATTGGACACGCGGACGGCGGATATATTCTATTATTATTATATAGTAGAGAGTGGGATATAGAGTGAGATACTGAAAAATACACAGTGAGATATTTTCCATATCTTAAGATATCGATCACGTGACTTTTTCCAATTTGCTTTTGAGCGTGAAATTTCACAATTTTTTGCTGATAAGCAG